AAATCGAAAATAGTGATGGAATATTATAAGAGCTAAATGTAAACGGTAAATGAAACAATCTGAGCTGATCACTCTCTATATATGGCTCTACACTTTAATCAACTCCAACTTCAAGTCCAAGTCTCCTTAAGACACTCCACCTGACACCTGTATAAATCAGCAACCGCAGATTATGTCTAAGCCGAAGCTACTTGAACTGATTCCTCTAGTCTCGAGTCTATACATATTGTATGCAGTGGCCTGTTCTAGCCGCTGTCGGCTGACGGCTGTCTGAGCATGTCCTTGTTGAGAAGGATACCTGGGCAGCAGCAGCAGCAGCAGCGCCCAGGCCGACGTGCAAACTCTCATGCATAACATGATGTAATGTGTGACATGTACGCTCCCTTAATTGGCTGCATTATTTATGAGCCAGGACTCGGAACTTGGGCCATGGTCCATGGTCTATGGCCATCCACTGACCAGCAATGACAACCCACAATAAAAGGGTTGACATATGTGTGTGTGTGTGTCTGTGTGGGGCGCTCTTCAATCAGAACGTCAAGAGAGCAAATTTGGCTTCTGCCCGGATTTGGTTGCGGGCGAAAACTATTGTATCGCTTGGCTGCATAAAATATTTACGAACTCAATTTAGCATAACGAAATGTTTTTCGTCTTTTTGTTTATTAGCTAACTGACTGAAGGATGAACATGTGTGCAGGATATGCCGGAGGATATGTTGGAGTACAGTCCGGTCGGTCCATTGATTATCGAGTCAGTCGAGTGTTCTTTGAGTTATGTTCGTGCCATGCAGAAACCATTAATTAAATGCCATACCGATGGCCCCTAATCAGCCAGTGTCATTTGTCTGCGCTCTGCCAATCATTTGTCCCCAACAAAAATCCGGGCAATGCATCAATGTGGCCCGCCCAGGGGAGGCGCATTCAGCCCATCTATTGGGAATTCATTTCTGTTAGTTTCATAATGTGAGAGCAGATATATATATATACATGTTATATACATACATATGTATATATAATGAGCGTCACTGTGTGAAGCACTGAATCTGAGCAGACATCCGGTTGACCGTGCAACGCTTATTGCTGGCCAGTGTTGGACATTCTACAGAGACGAAGACAGCTACACGGTACAAAATCTTGGGACAGTTGCTCAAATTCGAATCCTATTTTTGCAAGGAAATACAAATTTGGAATTCTTTGAACTAAATCGAAAGAGTTTAAGGTCCTAGAGAAAACTATTTATTATACTCGGTATTACCCAACTAAGAGATACCCTGAAACCTGCGAAGTGCTGTTAATCCAAAATGCAAATTCGAGGGAATGTGACCGACGGACAGACAGACAGATGGACGAACTGGCATTGCGTGATCGACTCAACTCGTAGTCCTGATCAACAATCTATATATAATCTATGGAGTCTGCCACGCCTCCTTCTGCCTATTCCATACACTGTCACAAAAATGTAACAGCCTGAAATCCCACTTTCAATAGCTTTAAGAAACGAAGTTGATTGGAGAATGAATCCGTATAGATAGGAATTCATATAAAATAGAATCCGGTTATAGCGTCATCCGGGTATAAGAACGGTTCCTTAAGAGTCGTTATAACCGGATACTACTGTATGTGTGTCCACATCTACATCCAATCCACATAAATATATAAACATTGATTGAAACAGCTAAATTGATCAAGTGAAAAATATCTGAAGAGATTTCATTTTTTAGCGTGTATTAAAAGATATGCATATACATACATATATATGCATATGTATATGTATATATACTGCAATGGTCTGTCTGTCCGTCCGTCTGTGTGTGCGTTTGGGAAAACAAGTCGCGGATCGCGTCCTCGGCAAGGGTAAAAATAAATTACTTTAAACGGTTTCGAATAGCAAATTGCAGATTGTCATTTCAAAAGACATACCTTGCCACACATATCAGTGTCAATGGCTAGGGACTGTCTGTTCGCTGGGGCACGGGGAGCGGGTCCACAGCTCTCTGTCTCCCTCACCCTCTCTCTCTCTCTCTTCTGCATGTGTGTGCAAAACTTAAAATGACGAATGACCACAAAACAACAAACACACAGAGAGCGAGAGTGAGAGACTTGTTTAGGGATAAGGGTTCTGAAATCGGGATCAGACGAACTAAAGCCACGAACGGCAATAATAAAAACTTCAAAACAGCATTTTCGCCAGAATTGAGATTGGGTTGAAATTTTTATAATTGAGTTTGAGTTTGAGAGCTGAGAGCAGATTTCGTATTCCGTTTTCGCATATATTTTCGTTAATCTCTTCTTTTGTCCCAAACGACAGCGACGGCGACGGCGACTGCGACTGCGGCCAGCAATCAGCAATCAGTTAGGAAGTAAGCAAATTAAAACGATCCAAAGTGGAACAAAGTGCGCGTTGCACATAAATATAGAGCTCAACTATTGCAGCAAGCAGAGCGAGAAAGCGAAAAAAAACACCGCTATTGCTGCTGAATTATTGACATCTGTTGCTCAGACGCCAATCGCGGGCAACAGATTACGAGCAGCAGCAGCAGCAGCAGCAGCAGCAACAAGCAACTGGGGGCATGCCACATGCAGCATGCAGCATGCAGCTTCTCGTCATTATGCATGTTCGAACATTGTACACACAGTATGTGTGTGTGTGTGTGTGTATGTGTTGGTCTGTGCACTGTGCACTTTACTCGATATCGTTATGGCCATGTAGAGCCGGCCAATAATAAGTACGAGTGCAGCACGGCCAACAACTCCCAACTCTGAGGTTCAGCTGCAGCTTCAGCTTTGGCTGCAGACAAATGCAATTTCGCTGTCCGATCATCGATCCCTTCTGTTTTTATGCTCGCATGTGGTGCACTATACCAATATATGTTGGCGGTGCTTCGGTGGGGCAGTTGATGTTGTCGTCGTCGTCGTCGTCGTCGTCGTCGTCGTCGTCGTCAATCGTCGCATCGGCTCCAGGCTGAGGCTGTGGCTCAGTCTGAAGACCACTGGCACTGACGCCCTCTCTTTGCCCCTACCGCGCCCCTACCCCTCCTCAGCTTGGTTTTTGTTTTGGCCTAAGCTGCTGCTGCTGCTGCTGCAACTGCTGCTGCTGCCATAGTATCAAGAGCGTGTAGCAAAATTCGTGCCGTGACCGCCCCTTTCAATTCTGTATTATCAGATTAGCTCTTTTCATAAGCCATTTGTTGTTGTTGTTGTTGTTGCTGTAGCTGGCGTAATGCTATTGACCGCTAGCATTAAGTTACGAGCCAAAGTTAAGCCACTCAGCCAGCTAGTCCAGCCAAGCCAAGCCAAGCCAGCAGCCATATGATGCTCTATGATGTTGTTGATAATAATAATAACAATAATAATAATAATAATGAAAATGAGAATAAAAATAAAACTAAAAATAATAGTCATAACAATAGTAATAACAATAATAATGCTGCTGATCATCATCACGACAGGTGTAGCTAAGAGCCAATACGAAATATCATAAGAGCCCAGCTTAGTCCACGATTTGGCCATAATTATGCATAACAGCAGCAGCAGCAGCAGCAGCAGCTCAATCCCCGCTTAGCTTAATTGAGCTTGATTTGCAAGCATTTTAACTAGCATTGCAGCTTGTAAGCTTGTAAAAGCATCAAGTGTTTTGTCAACTTAATCCAATGATCTTAAGCCGCTTGCGGTTAATATGAGGATAATATGTGCTTTAGTTGTGTTTTTTGCTTGTATGAAAAATTGAGTCGGGTGAGCTGATAGTGGTAGTATAGCTAGAGATCCTAAAACTCAATAAGTATCTAATATTTCCACAATTATACGAGGTAGACTATATTATCTAATATCAGATCATAGAGCTTTCTTAGAAATTGTAGATCAACCTGCTAAAATTCCCTTTTTCCTTGATATTGGATTACCCTATAACATATTTGTATTTAGTATAATGAAATAAATTGCTTCAAGAGCAATAATTTTATTTTATTTATTTATTTATTTTTTATTTTTTATATTGGAGAGCCCTATAACACATTTGTCTTCAGTATAATTAAATAAACATCTTTGAGTACAATAATTTTTTTTTTTTTTTTTTTTTGGAAATTTATTAAATTCTTAGCTATGTTTTCACAAAGCTCACTTAAGATCCACTATTTTTAGTTCAGAAAACTTGTGCATATTATTAAATATGGGAAACAAACGTAGGTTTGGCTTTTTAGCTTCTATTTTTTTATTTAGTTATAAAATTTATTACTAACTTATGTATGAATATTATAAATTCTATAAACAAATTATTAAATTCTATATAAAATTTATTACTAACTTATGTATGAATATTATAAATTCTATAAACAAATTATTAAACTATTTAAGATTACATCTATATAAAACTATTCACGATTATATCCAATTCTGTAAAGCTATTTCTATTATGTTGGTATTTAAATTATATCAGAGTATCATATATCAGATATCAGATAGGATCTTATAATATATTTATCATATTATCATTTATCATATTTTTTAAATCGATGTCATATCATTTCGTATAGATATATCACATTATCATATATCATATATATATATGTATATCTTATATGTATATCAATATCATATTATATCATTTGTCTGAAAATCCCTTAAATAAAACGCGTTCTACGCCATCGCAGGTAACCTTTGCTGTTTGGTGTCAATTCAAAAAAAAAAAAAAAAAACTTATGACCCACACACACACACACATACTCACACACCCTCTGAAGGACATTTACATTTGTTTCTTACATTTATTAACGCCACAAACTTTCAATCGGCTGTCGCAGCCATTTGCTGTTATAGGCTGAGGCGTATTGCTCCTGTTGTTGTTGTAGATAATAATTGTGCTGTTGTTGTTGTTGTTGTTGTTGATAATGATGATGTTGGTGTTGGAATTGTTGCTGCTGGTGTTGCTGTTGCTGGTGTTGCTGATGTCGTTGGTAGTAATTGTTGTTGCTGTACCGTTGCTGCTGCTGCTGCTGCTGCTGTTGCTGTTGTTGTTGTTGGTGTTGCTGAGACTGAGGCTGTGACTGAGCTTCAGTGTGTGTCTGATGGTAAGGCGCTGATAAGTTACTCTGATGCTGTGTCTGATGCTGTTGCTGATGCTGTTGCTGGTATCGTTGTGCTGCGGCCGTTGTCATAGCCAATGTGCCCATGCCCATGCCCATACCCATGCCCATGCCCATGCCCATGCTCATGCCCATGCCTACGCCCATGCCAGCTCCAATCGCATGCTGGCCGCTCTGCATCATGATTGGATGCTGGGGCTGTGCTGGCTCTGGCACGATGGGAAAGTAGGCAGCGTGCGGCTTGAAGAGCTGAGCGTAGAGCGCTGCCGCCGCAGCTGGATTGCCGGTCAGCTGCTGATAAGGATGCGCATAGGCATGACTCTTGCCATGAGCCGTTGCCTTGCTGCGGCCCAGCAGCGAGTTGTTGCTGCGACGCAAACGGCCCGTTGTCTCGCCAATGGTCAGATCCTCGGCATACGGATCCAGGGCCCAGTAATGGCCACGTCCCGGATCGTCGAGGGCGCGCGGCACACGTACAAAGCACGGATTGAGGCTCAGATTGTGGCGTATGGAGTTCTGCCAGACACTCTTGTGATTCTGATAGTAGGGAAAATTATCGGCTATCCACTTGCAGATGCCGCTCAGTGTCAATCGCTTCTCCGGACTCCGCCTTATGGCCATCACAATCAACGCGCTATACGTAAAGGCGGGCTTCACATCCGATATGCTATTACTGTTGCTGCTGCTGCTGCTGCTGGAGCTTGCTGTGGGGGAATGGGTGTTGCCATCTTCAGAGGACGCATCCTCGGAGCTGTTGCAGGAATCGCTTGGACTGGAGCTAGTATAATATTTGTGTGGCTCTACTTTGGCTTGTGCCTCGACCTCAACATCGATCTGCTGACCCGACTCCTCCTCCAGCTGCGTGCTGGAGAGCAGCGAGCGTATGGAGAAGCTGGACTGGAACACAGGCGCTGTATCCATGGACATGTTTCAAATGAATAATGCTCTTCCGATGAGATGTGTCCGCTGTAAATGTTCTCAATTGACTGTGCGGTGGTCTCATCTGGCATGGTCTATTTATTCCAGGGACATTCGTACCGGGAATCGAGAGGGAATGTGCGCAAGCTGCGGGATTACGACTTTATATCCTGCGCCATAGATTAAATTCGATTTGCCCGGCCGCCCTTGTAATCGTCGCTGGGCCACAACTGCAGATCAATGAAAGCCAAAGCCATCGGATTCATTCATTGATCCCAGCTGAAACACACACAGCTACTTAGTTGACAAATTCGAACATTTTCGGGATTAGCCAACAGCTTTTTAAATTGGATTATTTCTACCTGCCCAACACTCCCATTCTCGGCGCCCGCACGGCTCAGCTTCTCGTGGCAGAAAAATCCTTTGCTTTTCTGCCTGCCCTACCATTTGTCAAAGATCTATCAAATCAGGAAATATTTGTAAATGTTCGTGATCTATCACGCTCGATTGAGAGAGAGAGAGAGACAGAGAGAGGGACACAGGGAGGGAGAGAGCGAGAAAGTATTGTATCGGACACTAGAAGAATCAGTAGTATTTCTTTCCAGCTTATATGGGTATTACATATACATATGTATATTCAAGTATTATGAATAATATTCATTTAAGTACTATGATTATTGTTACTATCGTATCGTATCGTATGGCATAGTATACATAAGTAAGTAAGTAATTAGTATGCATATTACAATTATATTCAATTATTATTATCATTATCATTATCTATATTAGTTTTATTAGACTGACCCATTAGATATATTTTAATATATTACAAAAACAGAAATATTCTTTCTTTTAAGCACTATTGTTGTTGCTCTAATAGTCATTATTATTATTATTACCATTATCATTATCATTATTCATATCATTCTATTCATAAGACTTTCACATGGTTACTCGTATGCTATGAAGAATATTTATTCCCACTGCAGAGTCTTAGCCAATTCCTTCATTGAAAATGTCCTGCAAAATGCATATTTCTAATATCTCTTAATTATTATATTTGCATTGCATTTTTCGCGAGCAGCATTAACTGAAAATCAATAGTCAAGGTGCCAGCCTCAGTGCAGGTCGGCTAATTAAAGCCGTTCATATGCAAGTCTCCAGCCAAAAGGGCTATAATTGAGCGTAGTTATAAAGTAATATCTAGCAATGGCGTACTCTGAAACTATGCTCCACGATGCATGTACATATATGAAATAGTTACGATGCGATTCAACGCCTCACTGACTGCAAGGTCCTCGGTAACAAATTAGTTTTGCAGTTGGCAGGAGAAGTACATTATCAGTTTTTTTGTTTTCGTTTTTTTTTTTTTTTTTTTTTGGCTGCCACATCTGTATGGCGGCGATTGTGCGGTGCAAAACACGGTCCCGGAACCGTAAACAGACCCAAACCGTGTAACACACCCAAAAGCCCAAACCGAGAGACCGAGACCACATTTCCACCCACTGCCACTGGCAGACCAAAATTTAACAATTGCACGTTAGGGGCTAGACATAGACTGCATTATCCGTGGCATCCAAGGTGTCTATATGGCGGCGTATGAGTACTGTATATGCATACACATGTATGTACGTATGCTCGTGTGTGTGTGTGTGTGTGTGTGCACATATACGCATGCATGCATGCACACATATGCATGCATGCACATACGAGCAAACTATACTGATATTTACCTGTCTACTTGCCCGGGCAATTCCTTTGTGTACTCTGCTAGAATTATGTAATACATTTTGTAGTTGTACATATATGTCCCAATACACATACACGCACATAAGCACATACTTTTATAGAGCAAAAAGTGTAGCTACTTGTATATACCCTGTAAATAGTTTTCGCTTGATTTGGGCATTCATATGTCTTACATGCATTACCATAAATTTTATAAAGATATTTGAAATTTCAATCAGATAATGAACTTGTTTAAATAATACACTTATAGTTATCATAGTTAAAAATTAGAACATTTTTTGAATAGAGACTAAAATATGTATTATGAAATGTATATTGATATATGGATTTATATTGATATATGGTATTAGTATTAGCTTAGTCAATCAGCAAGCTTAACTTGGTGATAGATAAGCATATTGTACATATACGGGATGGACCCAAATTATTAACGTTGGAAATCGTTTTGAATCGGGACTTTAAGAAGAAAACATCTGGCATCGCAAGAGTGATGGAATATGACATGAAACGGATTCGGATGGTCATCCACTTGACCTAAATTATTTTCTTGACTTGACGGAATAAATTGTAATGGATTAGAACAACAAGCAATAAAGAAAATATTTCAATAAAAAAAAAATTTATAATAATTTTACCTCTCCCGGGATTACATAAGTGCTTAACTTATATATGTTTATTTATATGTATTATTATATTTGATATATTATATAATTATTTTATATATATTATACGTATTTCAATATTCTATATTCACTTTTAATTTTTTTAAACTTTTACTGGGTATTCTTCAGTTGATCAATTGTGTTGCCTGTATTTTGGCTTGTTTGTCTTAAAAGCGTTGCAGCTAGAGCCATAAAATACCAAACACGCTCATCAGTTGTTCACTGTGTGAGTGTGAGTGTGAGTGTATTTGTGATTTGTGCACAAAACTGCAGGATTACGTAGCTTCCACAAAGCGGGCCGTAAACAAAAGTTGAATTGCATCTAGAACAACATTATCCATGTAATATTGTCATATCTGCTAGCTGTGTGTATGAGTGTGTGTGTGTGGGGTAACTGTCGCCTATTGTACATGTGTATAATTGCCATATGTATGTATGTCCATGTGTATGTATACATACATACATATATATAGAAACTTGCACATATGAGTCGGAATAAAGTAGCAAATGAAATGCAGTCAGAAAAACTAAGTACAACACATACGTATATACACACACATGTGGATGTGTATGTGTGTGTGCTCCGCCATATGGTGGCATATGCAACTGTGTGTGTGTGTGCATATGTAAGCTTAATGTAAGGGTATGTAAGCGGCAGGGAGGCGGCTCTGAACGTGCCGTAGTTACGGATATGGCGTTGGTGTTGCTGTAGTAGTTGTTGTTGTTGTTGTTGTTACTGCGTGTCCTGCAGGCTTAACGATAACATTGTGGCAATTTTATTTGCCCACAATCTGTTGTTATGCCTCGAGTACGAATACGAATACATATGTATGTATGTATGTATGTCTACTGCAGGCCGAGGCCCTATGCCCAGCGAGATAGCGAGTCAGAAAGACAGAGCGACAGAAACAGTAGAAGGGTGCGAGAGAAAGAGAGAGAGAGAGAGAGAGAGAGAAAGACTTTGCCAAACAGGAAGGAAGAGAACGAATTTCAGCGGAAGGAAACACTAAAATGTTACTTTAAATAAATTGCACTACTCGTACACACCGTACACTCTATTATTTTCTCCAAAGGGAGGCCAATGCATTGCACTGGCAATGGCGACGACGACCCAGGGGTGACATGGACAACCACAAGCCCGGAGATACTTTTATTTATACATACATATATATACACATACGTATATATATACATATCTATATACATATAGAGGGACATGTATGTTTGCTTGTGCATATGTGTATCCATATAGATAGCGCTGGGTAACAACAACTACCCACATGTGGGCCCAAGTGCGATTGCGAATTCAACCCATTCGATGCATTTATTTATTTGGACACTGAACGCCCACGCGGAGGCAGCTAAATTTACGAGCCATTTTAATCGATCTAAAATTAAAATCGCATGCATAGCAACCCCCTAAAATGTGCTAACCACAAGTTTGCATTTTATCAATGGCATCCTAATATGTAGCACCGCCAGACCTCTGACCTATGCCAAACTGGGCATTTATTTCCCATACATATTACATTTGAGATTAAAACTCAATTTTGAACCACTTTAGTAAATGCGTAATATTTGAAGTGTTTTCAGTGCCATTAATAAATATTGGGATTGGTTTATATCTAGAGGTCGCCTTTGTATCTTAGTTTCAACTTCATGGAATATTTACTATATATTGAGTATATACAAATTTAGTATTATATTGAAAGAATTTGCTTAGTCTGGTAGTTAGTGGTATTTATTTATCAGTTTTGGGTATTACTTAACCCATCTACTGATGTCTTTTTATGCACTTAGCATGTAAGCTGTCCATCTGTTTCTATACATATCAGAGGCGCTGTTACACTATGTTTTAACTAAGGTCTTATAATTGGTATTTCTTTTGGTATTAAAGGTGTACATCATTTCCGACCACAAATTGCTGTTCAGACTAAAATTTAAGTCGGACTCTTCTTTATCCTTAACTAATCTATGAGGACTTTGATTCACAAAAAAATTCAGTGTTAGCTCTTTATTTGCTTAACTTTGCTGACGGACGGTTAGCTGGATGGACAGACGGACGGACAGACGGATAGACTGACGGGGTTTGTCACATCCTCTTCCTTTAAACATTAATGTATTTCCCATTTGAATGGGCTTTTAGGAGATTGTTCTTGGCACGGGTTAGCGCAATCCAATCCTTTTTTTTTGCAAATACAACCTTTAACTTTTCGTTCTTCTTCTTCCAGCCCTACTAGCTTGGTAGTTATATATTTCCATCTCACTGTCCCGATTTACACCATATAAAAATGCATAATTTTTTTTTTTTTTTTTTTTTATATTTTTCATGATATTTTATTGCAAACATATATAGCTTAAATATGAGTTGAAGGTATTTGCCTGGTTACTGCTTCAGAACTATCCCACTATATGATACTCTAGGATTCTCGTAAAAGAAGACAACAGAAAAAAAAAACATTTATATAAACTAGAAAGATAGATCATATCGATACAGTAATTGGTAATCAGTTTAGTTTGCCCTATTGAAAGCATTTTGTTCTTTATCATCATCATTATCGTTGACTCGTTTTCAATTTGTTATCATACAATACATATAGGGATTCTCCATACAAATCAATCACAAAAAAAAAAAAAAAAAAAAAAAATTCATAGTTGTAGTAGTCGACACCACCCACCCACACATATCTATGTTAAGTATGCGCTTAGAGGCTATGCTTACATAATCGAGTATCACTAACAATATATATCGTTATTAATTAATATATGAATTTGCTTTATTATTCGCCCTCTTCTCATCATTATCATTATAATACGTATTATCATTATTGCTGTAATGACGATTATTATTATTATAATTTATTGTTATTATTATTATTACTCAATTCTCTACAATTTTATGCTTGTACACAAAACAACAGTTTTTATAAATACAAGTTAAAAAAAAAAAAAATGGGGGTCTCATTATTTTATTTATATATATGTATGTATATATATATATATATATAGAAAAAAAAATGCTAGTTGATCCATCTAATATTTTATATTAGCCTAGTAAAAGTATTGTTTATAATGAGCGCCGGTGAGCCAAGCTGCAGTTTGGATTGCGAATACTTTCTCCTCGTCCTTCTTCGATCGATAAGTCGACCTATCGATTCATCGATTATGATTATGAGCAATGCTGTGTAGTCCTAAGTTTTAGCCTGATATTGCATGAATGAATTGTTGCTGTCCGACGACGATGCTTCAGTGATAAAATGCCAGCGCCTTGGCATAGTACGAGGTACATGGTCATGATATGCGATCCGGCGACTGCCGCTGGCTCTGTCCGGCCTCCTCGCCGGCCGCCTGCATGTGCATGTGTGTGTGCGCATGCGCATGCCCATGATTCGCCTGCGCATCGTACTCGGGCGATCCAGATCCGGAGCCGGAACGCGGACCCAAGCCCATCAGCGAGACGCTATCGCAGCCGCGTGCCCCAACGGGCGGTGTTATCGAGTGCTGGGAATTGGAGTCGGAAGAGGTGCGACGGCAGAACGGACTGAGGGCACTGGCACCCGCCAGCATGTGGTGCGTCAGGGGTGGGAAGCGCGGCAGTCGCAGGCCGGGGAAGAGCAGCGGATTACTGGCATGATTGAGCAGCAGACGTGGATCGGTTGCCGGCATGAAACCCGGATTCGGATTCGCATTGACACTGACATTGGCATTCGGATCAGGAAATCCGACCGGCACCTGGCCGTGGCCGTGGCCAGCATGGAAACGATGCTGCAGCGCCTCGAAGCAGAGCGGCATGCTTAGGCCATGTGCACCCGCACAGAGGCGTGCCAAAATCTCGGCGTGAATGCTGCTGGGCATGCCGCCGGCTGCGGTAACGGGACCGCCAGCAGCGACGCCAGCACTACCGAAGGCCTTGTTGTTGTTGATGTTCATCAGCTCCAGCAGCGGATCGGGCGGCAGCAGCAGATTGTGCTCGTCGCTAGTGGAGAGCAGCTTGCGATGCAAGTTGAGGTTCGAGCTGTGGCGATCGCGGCTGCGCTTCGAGGGGAAGGCCGCATTGCAGCCGTCGATGTTGCACTTGTGATGGAGCTTCAGGTGGACGCTTTGGTAGTGGGTCTTCAGGTGGAAGTGGTTCTGAAAGATGTCACCGCAGGCGGTGCACTTCAATGGATTCTCCTTGTCGATGGGTACCTCTGGTTCGGGCTCTGGTTCCGGCTCCGGCTCGGGCTCGGGCTCGGGCTCGTGCTCCGGTTCCGGCTCCTGTTCTGCTTCCGGTTCTGGCTCGTGCTCGCCATCTCTTTCACGCTCCGCTTTCGCCTTGATGCTGCCATTGGAGTCACGGCTCTTGCTCGTCATGCTCTCAGTCAATATAATGTTGTTGTTGTTGCTGCTCTTGCTCAAGCACTCCTCGACCGCTGCACGACCAAAGCTGGGCTCCTCGTCGCCCAGCAGCTCCTGCTTGATGCGCATATAGCGATTCTCGTCCGCATCGGCGCCATAGCTCAAGGCCAGCTCATCCAACGGCTCCTGCTTGATAATCGATCCCCCACTGGTCGTGCTCAGCGACAGATCGAGCGTGCCAACTGCCTCGTCTGAGTGGGCGTATGGATGCCCTGCCGTTGCCACGTCCGGCCGTGACATAGCCTTTGGCTGCTGCACCTTCTCCATTGGCTGCTCCCCCTCCTCATCGTCGTCTTCGAGCTCCATCTTAATGTGCGACTTGGCCTCGCTGGTGTAGGGCGTTAGCGGGGGCGAGGGTATCGCCTTGGTGGACTCTGTGGAGCCGGTTAACACCTCGGCTTCTTTGGCTGTTGCGTCCAGCTGGGCGGCCAATGGCGCATCTGTTCCTATTACTGCGGCTGCGGCTGTGACTGCGGCTGCTGCGGCTGCTGCTGCCGCCGCAGCTGCCACTGCATCCACATCCTCCTCCTTGAGCTTGATCTTCTTGATGGACAGGTCGGCGGCCACATCGTAGTTATCCAGTGAATTGTCGCAAGAGTTCTCATCCGATTGCACGGTGCAGCGCACCGGATTTTGGCTTTTGCGTTTGCGTTTGCTCGCCGTCGTCTGGCCGAGGGCGTGCGAGGAGTCGGTGAGGCTCTGTGAGTCCTCGTGCTGTTCATCAGCCTCCGGGCAGGGCTCCGGCTCAGCCTTGCTCGGACAGGGGCTTGGCTGTTGCTGTTCTTTGGTTTGACTGTGATTGTGACTGTGACTGTGACTGTGACTGTGACTGTGAATGTGGCTGTGACTGTGACTGAGATTGTGAGCGTGACTGTGGCCGAGACTGTGACTGAGGCTGTGGCTGGAGATGGCCGAGGTGGAGCGCTCGTCGCTCTCGTTGCCATTGTCCAGCATATAATCATCGTGGCTGTGCTTGTCCTTGTCGGGAATGCTGTCCAGCTCATCGCCGACCACAACAATGCCATCCCCATCAGGATCATCGTCATCATCGTCGCCATCTCCCTCGCCATCCGCCTCGTCATCATCGTCGTCGTCATCGGGCATGTGGATGCCCACCTCGAGTATCTCGTCATCGTCATCGTCCTCGTCGCCCGGCTCGAGCGCCGTCTTGCGGCGCTGTCCCTCGTACCGGCCGAGCATGCCGTTGCTGTCCATGTAGGAGCGCCGCAGATACTCCTGGCCATGCTTCAGCTCCATGCCGCCCATCGCATGGTGTCGCAGATCGGGCGGCGGTGTCAGCAGCGGGAAACTGCCGAACGGACCCAGCCCAGCCATGATGCCGTTCGGCGCCTGCAGCAGCAGCGGATGCGGCTGGGCGCTGCGTCCGTCATGGGGCGAGATCTTGCGGCGCAAATGCGGCGAATGCAGCTTCGGATTCGGATTGGCGCTGTGACGATTGCGCGAACGCCGCGAGCTGAACATCATGCTGCAGCCGTCCACCGTGCACTTGTGCATCTCGCGCAGATGCACCGCCGAGAAGTGGATCTTGAGGGCGCCCTTGTCGCAGAAGGTCTTCAGGCAGACGTTGCACTGGACGCGCTTCTTGCCGGTCACCGGATTGATGAACTGTGTGCCCAGATTGGCCGGCATCGAGCCCCACTGGCGCTTGTTGCCCGGCGAGTGGCCCGATTTGCGGCTGGCGCGCATATTCGAGCCGGACCCGGCCCCGGAGCTAGAGCCGGAGGCCAGTGCTAGGCGTGTCAAGCGCTGCGATCCGCTAGCTGGCTGTGCGCCCGACGCACTGGACGAGGAGCAGCTGCTGTTCGACTTGTCCCCGGCCACGGCGGCGGCCAAGTGACGAGATTTGCTCGAGATGCTCGAATCCTCCGGCGAGGTGGGTTGTCCGGCCTTGTGATGATGCGAATGCGAGTGCTGCTGATACTGGCTGTGACTGTGGCCGTGACCAGGGCCGTGACCGTGACCGTGGCCGTGACTGTGGCCGTGACTGTGACTGTGACTGTGATTCACCTGTGCGTGATTTGGCGAGTGTGGCCCATGGCCGTGATTAAGTTCTGCGACGCTGCCGGCCAACGACACCTGATTGTTGTTCGATTGCTGCTGCTGCTGCTGTTGTTGTTGTTGCTGCTGCTGCTGTTGCTGCTGCTGCGGCGGTGGCGGCGGTGGGGGTGGCGGTGGTGGCAAGTGATACGGCAACGGATGCCCGGCCATTGCCATTGCGCTAAAGAACTGATTGCTCTGGGCAGCAGCCGCAGCAGCTGCTGCCGCCGCTGCCACCGCAGCGTTCTTCTCGCTTGCTGTGGTTGCCTCATTGATGCGGCGACGCGCCTGCGCCAGCACCGCCGCCTGCTGCTGCAGATGCTGGTGGTGCACGAAGTCCGTCGCGTTCGGCGGCGCACCGAACGAGTTGATTTTGCGAAAGTCAAAGGGCTGCATGTTCTGCAGATCACTTAACGGATTCAGATGCGCTGCGCTCATGCTCGTCGCCGGCGGCGATGTGCCGGTGCCACAGATGTTGCGCTCCCGTTCCCGTTCCCGTTCTCGCTCCCGATCACGTTCACGTTCCGTTGGCGATGGCGAGGGCGGGTTGCGAAAGTAGCTGGCGGATAGCTTCTGATGCAGCTGCGACTGGAAGTGTAAAAAGTGAGCGTTCATGCACTGCGTCTGGGACGGCGTCTGTGCATGAGCCTGGGCCTGTGCCTGCGCCTGCGCCTGGGCCTGGGCCTGGGCCTGAGCTTGGGTCTGGGACTGGGAGTGGGTCTGCTGGGCAGCTGGGCCAACGGAGCCAGCGCTTAGTGCATGGCGCGTCGGCAGCGGCAGCGGCAGCGGCAACGGCGGCGGCGAGCTGCGTCGACTGGGTGTCATAACCATGGGACAGCCGTTGGGACTTCTCACTTGCCGCTCGCTCCCAGCGGAGCGCCTGAGGTGCTCGATGTGCAGTCGATGATCATGGCCGGGCGGCAGCGTATAGCGATAGCCAAGCAGCAGGCCGGGATAGTCAGATGGAGCGGCTCCAGCAGCAACGGCACCCGGGACACTGTGTGGATCTGTGTTGCGGCTGCGATTGCCGATCGCCTGCTGTGGCGGATGTGTATGCGAATGCGGATGCGGATGCGGATGTGGATGTGGATGCGTGTGCGACTGCTGCGACTGATGCGTATGCTTTTCCTGACCAATATTCATCAAGAGCGTCTGCCTTACAAGCTACCGTTAATCTATATAGAGTTGTGACAATACGTTAGACTAGACACTGATATAGTATGTTTCCGTTGCAGATCCAGAAAGATTCGTTGTTGTTGCTTCCAAAATATTGCGGCAATTTTCGAAGCTGCAATGAGAAAACGAAAAAAAAAAAAATATAATGTAGACTAATTCGATTGATAAGTATTATAATGACTGAAAGCTAGAGGGATCCAGTGAGAATGAGTGAGAGAAAGAGAGCTACTGAGTTAGAGCTACTGAGACTAGATAAAAAGGGAAAGCTAGAGTGAGACAGAGACGAAAAAAGAGAGGGAGGAATGGATGGAGTAAAAGAGAGAGGATATAGCGCTACGAAAAAAGCGAGAAGGAGCGAAAGAGTGACTGAGAAAGAGAGAGACGGATACTGCTGAGGGAGCAAGAGGTTGATAAAAAGAGAGAGGTACATAACAATAGCGAAAGAGAGACAGAGGGACAGAGGGGAAAAGATTGAGAGAGAGAGAGAGAGACAGAGAGAGAGAGAGAGAGAAAGGAAAGAAAGGAAGAAAAGAAGGTACAAACCCTCTGTTGCTATCTCTCTTTTCCTCATTAATTGTTTAAATCTGTCTCTTTTTGTCTCCTTCTCTCTCTTTCTAACTACTTATAGCTCTTCCCCCTCCCTAATTCTATATCTCTTTCTAGCTCTCTCTCTCTACCTTTTGCTCACGCCTTTTGCTCACGCTCTCTCTCTCTCTCTCTCCATTCTTTCGCCCTCGTTCTCGTTCTCACTCTCCCTTTTCTTAATTCGCTTGTTCAGGTATTAAGCTTTAGCTTTACAAATTCATTTAAACATCTAAATTCCCCTAATTATTATTTATTATTTTCCATTCGCAATATATAATTAATTGTCACATGATCTGTAAGTATAATAAATTATTTCTTTAGGGCTTATTCGTCGGGCTCGCAAGCGTTCGATTCGAATTCGTGTCTTGTCATCGATGTGGTGCACAGCTCTCTTGGCCCTCTCACTGCGCTCCGCCCCACCCCTTGGCCCTTCGTTGGGGGCAACACGCACCCGTCGCTGTCACTGTTGCTGTCTCCATGTGAAACATTGTCCACTGCTGATGCTCAAGGAGTTCCACCGAAACGGCCTAACGAAGTGGCCAACAGACCTCCCAGGCGCACCTCAGCCAACTGCCATGTATTTTGCGTGTGTGTGTGTGCGCGTGTGCGTGTGTGTAAATATGATTATTTAAAAGAAAAATAAGAATAATGATGTGACAAATTCTGAGTGGACACTTCACGTTTTTAAGAGCGATGGTAACGATGCCGCACAGACAGTCACTGGACACACAGAGTGGACATTTGGCTGAACGAGCTGAGCTCTAGAGTTGCCCCGGCGTGACATGACAATGTACACACTCACACATACACAGAGGAAGAGAGCGAGATAGAGAGGGAGATGGCGAGGGAGAGGAAGAGGGAGAGACAAGTACCAGTGCCAATACGAGAAGAAGACGCTGACGCTCTGACGGTCTTCGTGCTGTCGACCATGGCCACTTCCACTTCAAATTCCCATGTCACATTCTTGTGCGCCGCACAAGAGGCGATCTCCATGTCGATGTCTAGCCAAAGACCGCCATGGCACCAGCCATAGAGCCAGCTAGACCCCCCCCTCCCCACTACCAGCCCGTGCCCCAACCCAAGTCGCAGCTCGTGATCGCGATCGCGATCGCCATCGCCATCGTTGTGCGACTCGGATACGCAAATTATGATTGGGAATGGCCTCGTCATCGTTCAACATCGTTCCCAAATGGTAAGCAGCATTAGCCGATCATTAAGCAACGAGGCGAGCACAAATTGCGCCTAATATCACCTAAATAGGTATATCGAATAGTGGTATGCGTAATGCCAGCGAGAGCAACAACATCTTGTCGCAAATGCGTGAACACGAGCAGCGCTGCGGCAGAGCCAACGGAGACAATTTAGTTTAATTTTAGCAAATGAATGAATGACAGCGCTTGTTTTAACAGATTGCGAATTGCAAGAGATGAAAAAAAAAACTAAATTTTATTTGAGATAAAGAAAAAGATATGGCAACTGAAATTGGCTGTGAAAGAATGGGGATGGACAAGCAAATGGACAGGGCTAAATAAGCAGAGTCGATCTGATCAAGATAATAAGGCCTTCGGCTGTATGCTGTATGCTGAATGCTGTATGCTGAATGCTGTATGCTGTATGCTGTATGCTGTATGCTGTATGCTGTATGCTGTATGCTGTATGCTGTATGCTGTATGCTGTATGCTGTATGCTGTATGCTGTATGCTGTATGCTGTATGCTGTATGCTGTATGCTGTATGCTGTATGCTGTATGCTGTATGCTGTATGCTGTATGCTGCTGTATGCTGTATGCTGTATGCTGTATGCTGTATGCTGTATGCTGTATGCTGTATGCTGTATGCTGTATGCTGTATGCTGTATGCTGTATGCTGTATGCTGTATGCTGTATGCTGTATGCTGTATGCTGTATGCTGTATGCTGTATGCTGTATGCTGTATGCTGTATGCTGTATGCTGTATGCTGTATGCTGTATGCTGTATGCTGTATGCTGTATGCTGTATGCTGTATGCTGTATGCTGTATGCTGTATGCTGTATGCTGTATGCTGTATGCTGTATGCTGTATGCTGTATGCTGTATGCTGTATGCTGTATGCTGTATGCTGTATGCTGTATGCTGTATGCTGTATGCTGTATGCTGTATGCTGTATGCTGTATGCTTTATGCTGTATGCTGTATGCTGTATGCTGTATGCTGTATGCTGTATGCTGTATGCTGTATGCTGTATGCTGTATGCTATATGCTATATGCTATATGCATGCACACATATAATTCTATATTCAAAATTCGGAGACTCTAGCTTTTAGGACGAGTATTATGCCGTCAGCTATGCCCGACTGCAAAGTTCCCATTGAAAGTTCTCGGATATACAGCAGATTACTTAAGCATTGAACAATGTCACTTTCAATAAATAATAATGTTATTGACAATTGTACATGTGTCCATAAGTAGATACAGATAATACACATACACATACACATGCATATATGTAGGTATGTGTACATGTTTGCTTCTCTTTGAAGCTCGTATTGTTTCGATATTATTGTTATTACGACAATCGCTTGCTGTTTGTCGTCTGTGGGCAGTTTGCATGACATATGTCATCTCGGGCAAGTCATTTAAATACTGCACAAATTGTATTTTAATTGCCACCTGTTCGTGAATGTTGTTGTTGTTGCTGTTGTTGTTGTAATGACATTTATTTCGATTACGCCAAGCTCAAAGCCCAGTTTACTTGACGCTCTTGGCTCTGGCCACTTGCCCAGCAGAGATGAACGCTGGCCAAGTTTTAATTGCTTTCGACTGAGACATATATATAGATAAGTATATATGTGTGTATATATATATATGTGTATCGTTTGTCTGTCTGTCGATTTATTTAGTTTCATTTGTCACTGTTGCCAAACAAGTTCTCAGCTGTGGCTTTGCCTGACGTTGTTGCTTATTGAAATATTTGTGTAATTATCTCAGGCGTTGCCCATATTTAACAAAATTAAATGACATTTTTTTATTTCTCTCAACTACGTTTTAAGGTGTGAATCAATGGGCTTCAGTTTAAACTTTAAAGTGATTTTCTATAATCAAAATTTCCGGTTTATAGACTCTCAATAAATCACAGTTGACCTGAACAAATTCAATTCTACAACTTTTTGACTTCCATTTGGCTATGTCAACTGGTTCTAATGAAGCACCTTTACTTTCCCTAGAAATTCATTAAAATTTCATAATTCTCAAAAAGACCACCAGAAAATTAATACAGAAATATTCATCTCTCGGCTTAGCGCTGCCAGGCCGGGCCAGACCAGACACCAATCATCTTTATTGGCTTTATATGTATATATATATATATAAATACTACATATATATATATATATATATATATCTGTATATATTTTTTAAAGGTAACGCATTTCGAAGGCCATAAAGCAGAAGCCATAAATGCGTGTTAAAGTCGACCAACAAAAATTTCAAATGTCAACCATTAAACGAACCGAATGTCCCAAAAGATGCCATAAAGAGGCGTTCAGGAGTTGGCAAAAAGAGAGAGAGAGAGGGAGCGAGGGGCAGCCCAGAAGCGACAGCGTGTCGTATTCTCTCTATTTTGTAAAACTTAATTTATTAAACACATAAAAAGTGTCAACACGGCTTGCTGCATATAAAATATGTGTATATACAAATACACAGATACATATATACGTACATACATATGTGTTGGTCAAGCCGGCAGCCGGCAGCCGGCAGCTAACGCTCCAACGCTCCAATCTTCCCATGGTCTCCCTCCGCCGTCTGTGGCCGAGTCAAAGCCGCCAGCAGCGTGACCACCGCATCACTTCAGTTTTGATTATGAACGCCTCTGATCGCCTCCGACTGCCGCCGAACAAAGCTTAACAAAGTGATTTCAACAAAAATTTTATATTCTCTTGTTGTTGTTGTGTGTGTGTGTGTATTTTTTTTTTTTTTTTAATATGCAAATCGCTTTAGGATCGTTGACGGACACCGCTGTTGCATTGCCAACAGCAACAGCTACAGCGCTACAACAACAGCAGCAGCAACAACATCCAGAGGTGGGAAGCTAAGGCAACAACAGAGCGCCAACAGACGCTGGCATCCATGTGAGTGCTCAATGGCAGGACATGGACACGAACATGGACACGAACCGGGACATGGGCATGGGGCATGGGGTAGGAGCGGGCGGTTTTTGGCATTGCCTCTGACACATTTTGGGCGACAAATGCATATTCATCTTCGGCGACTAAGACTGTGGCGCTACTTGTACCGGCCGGGTCCCCATGTCTCTCCCGATCAGTTCTGAATGTGTTGGAATATTTTTTTTTTTTATTTTTTTTTTCGATTTGGTTTCTTTAGCCTTTTGGGAGCACAGCAGGAGCTTGCATTCTCCGTATTGTTCACAGCTTTGTAAGACCCTTGGCTCAGTGAACGCAATTTAGAGCTGAGCCCTGTGTAATTGAATCAAGCACCAGAGATGCTCAGCCAAGCAAATCAACAGATAGCAAATGGAAAACGAACGCACGAACGAACGAACGAGCACGATCGGTAGGGAGGCAAGGTGTGAATTTGCCACTATGTCCTAAATATAGCCACCAAAAGGTAGACAAGTGGAGTTGAAATGCATGAGATCGATGATGACAGTGGCTCTACACTTAGCCGAAAAGCAGGGCAAAGATATTTATCGATAGAGAATACTTAGTATTTCACAATGGCACAAACAATTTACTGAAAGTTCAAATTTTTCACTATCACATCGAGTTTTGATCAACGGTTGTGAGAGAACTATTCACAAATCGATATATATCGATAACAAGACATAAGATATATTGAGCTGCACCTGAATAAACTTTTAAGAATTTAAAATTGATTTATTCATATTGATTATTTCTTATAAGAAAGAGAAATTATAAATCGATATTATCGATAAAAATACCAAATTCGACTACCATAGATATAATCTATATTAAGACATTCAATTTGCCTGAATTGGATATTGATTGAACTTTTTGCAAGTCGATAGATATAGACATATATACCGATAAGTATCGATACCAATTCTAATCTATATACTTAACATTTCTCATGATTTAAGAACATTAATAAATGCGATCCGTTTCGATCACAGATTGCTATTTGGAATTTATAAGTAACACTGATTATCAGGAGGCACATCTGATATTTCGTTATTTCATTTTCATATTTTGTGTAAATCGAAAAATGTGTAAAGGCTCAAAATGCCAAATAACCATTGTGGAGCAGCAGTTTACGCCCTCCCTTGCTGTGGCGTCATCAACCTGACGACAAATTTATGAGTTATGATACGCTCACTTGGCCACAGGTAAGTCAAAAGCCCTGAAGACAGCCGGACCCCAAAAAGTGGGAGAAAAGGGCAAGGAGAGAGCGAGACAGACGGACGAATGGACGGAAAGACTCGTAAATACATTGCCATATAAAAGGCATTTGGTGAAGAAGAGCCAAAAGCGAAAGAAACGATGCAATACGAGAGACACAAAACGATACGAAACGATACGAACTGAACCGAACTAAACTGAGCTGAACCGAACCAAAGACAAGAGCCCATTCTTATATCTTATTTGTAGCCGGGAGCGAAACAAACGATTGATTGAAGGCAAGGCGGCGGCTTTGTTCATGTGCTACAACCATCGCATTTAATGAGATTTATATCAGTTTTTAATAGCTTTGTGACTCTATTGTGTTGGCCCGGTATCTGAGGCGCATATCTGAGGGCATCTCGGTCCGCTTAAGATATGCTACGAAACAATAAAAATTAGTCTGTTGTAACATTGTCAAAAACGCCTATGAGTGACCGGCAAAAAGGTAACATGAATGCATAAAGCAACAGACACACAACAGACATAATCTCTGCCACCAAAGCTCCAGATCAGTAAAAGGCTGCAGCGGCCATCGATACTTACATATTGAGAAAAGTGCATAGGCCTCCCAAATCAACATCTGCAAATAGAGATTTTAAGTGCAAATTAGTTAAGTGAAAAATGGAAAGTTTGGTTTGAAAGATAATTGATAACTCATAACGTCTCTCAAGACGTATTATCTGCTTACTGAAAATCGACTTTAATCGATTTTTATCGATATCATTGAATAATTGGTGGTTTAAAATCATATCACGCTATATTTCCAGTCTTCGTATTAACACTAACCAGAGAGCTCTCTGGTTAGTGGTATTAAAGATTGGGTTTACTTTCGATACCATATAATAATCAATAGTAAAGCTATCGATAGTCTATCCACAAAATGGCTCATTTCTATTTGGGACTGATCTTTCTAACCGATTTATAAATATCTACATCAAACATCTATATCAATTTATAAATATCTACTTATCGATAACAGCTCTATCGATTATCCAATCATACAAAAATCAAACAAATATGATTTACCTATAACAGGCCAAAGGCTTGATTACATTTTTGATGTGTTAACTTTAGATTACAAATGCCGCATGTAGATACACACATCTAGATATTGATAACAATGTTATCGATAGTCAGCGTACACACGCACAAACCTTCAATGACAATCAAAAATGCTCTGTTTATTATAGAAATATGAGAATATTTTTTGCTAACACATTTGTAATGCGGCATAAAGCGAATGCCACGAAATGGTGTTAATTCAAATCAAATGACAAAATATAATAAACGACCATAAAATTTAATCCGAGTCTTCTCTAATACGATACGGCAAAAATGTGCTAAGTGCCTTGTGCAAACACAAGATCCCACGACATTCGCTCGCCGGCAGACAGTAAACTATTCGTAGATATTAGAGAGCTGTCAGTCGACTAGGCTCAGGAACGTTTGATGTAATAAATATGCGATAATTTGTGAAACATTTACGTTGGCTATCGATAAGTAAGTATCGATTTGTCATATTAAAAAATATATATATATATATATATATATATACGCCAAGGCAGAGTCAGTTGACAGCGTTTGACACAAAGTGGAAAATAGAAAACCAATTAAACTGGCTAATCAAATATTATTGTCATTAGCACTACGAAAAAAATTTAAACGGCTTATTAGCAGTACCATTTAGGTCTCACTGACCGCTATCGAAACACTGTGCTGCTTGCTCGACTACATGGTAGATTCGATGATTTAGGTGAAATGGGAATGAGTAGAGAGCACTGTTTAATGAGATTTCAATTTCAGGGAAATCTGTTTACATCTAACATAAATTCCATTTTTTGCTAATTTCTTTTGATCTTCAAACTTTTGAGATTAATACCAAATATAATTATTATAATATTATTATTATTATTTGACCCATCAAAATATTTTTCCCCCATTGCTGCATATTTAGACGTCGTGCATACCCGGAGCTATTCATATGTTATTTATTTATTTTTTTTTGTGCAGTGCTTTTCACTGGCCTTTTCTCAAGTTTGTTTGGCTTTAAAACTTGGACAGTTAGCAGCTTAAATTCGTTTTTAACAATGCAAATATTGTATATAGCAATTAGCAGTATTATCAGATGTGTATTATATTTTTTCTAAAAAGGCACATGTCAACGTCGCAGAGACGTATAGATACGTAGATACATGCATGCATACACATGTATGTATATATGTATATGAATGCATGAATACTCATAAACGATTCAAATGATCAAAATGAACGAGGCTGATGATGAAGAAGAAGAGGAAACAAAATTGAATTGACAGTTGATAAGTTGATGGCAAAACTGTATGTGATTGGCAGTGGCGCACTTGACAATCCTGGCGACGACCATATGCGCCTCCTTTAGCATTGACGTTGTAATTGAATCAATAATAAAATCAAAAGGTGCTCTTGCCGCACCCTCACCTCACCCCAGACCCTTCCACAATGACAACAACAACTGGAACTGCATATAGCAGCCAAGCGTGTCCGTGTCCGTGTCTGTGTCCGTGTCTGTGTCTGTGTCTGTGACGCGGCGCCGGTGTCCGTGTCATCGTCAGCGGCGAGAACGGGGCAGCAAGCGCACTTGAACAAGGCTGACTCGCTCGCACCCTCATTGTATGGAGTGAAATGTGAAAAAGTGTTGTTGGGGTTGTCCTGGGTCTCTGACATCGGTCGTCGGATCTGGGGCTGATCCATACGCCTTACACCTTCAATCGAATGTGTACGAACAATGAAGCTTGACTAACTGACTGACTGACTGATTGACTGACTGACTGACTGACTGGCTGACTGACTGGCCGTCGTCCCATGTGTCTGTGTGAGTGAGTGTCTCTTTTGCGTTTTAGAATTTGTTATAATGTGTATGTATATATTTCATTTTTTGAACTGTCTCCCTGACAGCCTACGAACATTTTGAGTGACGTACAAAATGATGTCGTGTTGTCGTTGCCGTTTGCCGTTTGCCGTTGTGTCGTGCCACGTCCACGTCCACATCCACATCCACATCCACATCCACATCCACATCCACGTCGACGTCCACCAGGTTGACTCTTTCAGCTGTACCGCCGGCATTTCGCATTGCTACGAGGGCCCCGTCAGTTGGGTCCGACATGGCAGTAGTGACTTTGACTTGAATGTGCGACAAGAGAGTGCGCGCGATTTTCGAGTGTGACGTCAAATCAGCTAAGTTTTTAATACCCTGTTAACAATGCGTTGACTTTATGGGTAGTTGTAGCAGAGAGCATCAAGTTGAGTCCCCACAGATCTTCATAGATCTTCACATCTTTCGAATCCATTAGAATGCATTGAGGTCTTTAGCACACACCGAACATTAACCCTTGAGACTTGCTAATATATGGGACCACATATGATACATTCCGCTGACATTTTATGGCCTAGTTGGGACTAGTGAGCATCGTGACAATTGGGCATAAATCATAATGCATCCACATAAGGGTTAACGACGAAGTTTGGCGTCGTCAACTGCCTAAGGAACGTTCTGAAGTTGTTTGGCATTATAATCTTTGCTTTTCGCGCTCGCACGAGCTCTGACACTGCGACTGAGACTGAGACTTAGACTGGAGACTGTAACTGTGACTGCAACTGAGCACTGAGAACTGCCAACTGAGAGCTCGGACCGGGACAGAGGACAGAGGACGGCGGATGGAGGATGGAGGACTGAGGACTGAGGACTGGCATTCGCCGGTTCGCGTTTGCGTTTCTTTGAAAGGCACACGTCATGGCTGTGTCAGTGTTTATGCCGGCCGAGCGCCCGACCATGCATTATATACGTAGACAGGCGCTCAGTCAGTCAGTCAGTCAGCCAGTCACCCAGTCAGCCAGCCAGTCCGGCAGTCAGTCACAAAGGAAGCACTTGAAAAGTGAACACGTTAACGGGGAAAAATAGTTCGTCGCCTCCTCCAAATGCCATTCTCAGAGACCGCTTCGGGGCGTATGAGTGGAAGATGGCAGAAGGGGAATTGTGTCGCCCGAAAACACTTGCGAATGCCTCTCGACTCTGTCAATCCAATCCAATTGAAAACAAAAAAAAAAAAAAAAAAAAAGAGAGAGAAAAGAGAAAACGAAAAGAACTAACAAATTATGTAAACAATTGGTTGGTGAAGCGGTGCAATAAGTTCGAATTCGTTTGATGTGCATTCTGTCGAGGTGTTTAACGGAAAAAGTGACTGAATGTCGTCTATAATAACATTTGACTGCTCTCATTTCGAATTGTTCAGGATCCATTGAGGTTACATAGGGTGGTTTAGTTTTAAGAACTGATTAGATTATGAGAGAGGAAGAGACGGGTAGAGGGAAAGGAAAATCATGTCTGAAAACCCTTCAAGAAGAGTCTACTTTATAATTCCCATGTCATTATTACTTCATATTCCTAGGAGCTTAGATGATATTGGCGTGTTCAGCTGAAGTATAGAATTCGACATGATCTGATCCGTTAAAACTTTTGTGCACTTTTCTATACTCATAAAAGAACACTAATCAATAGGCGAAGTAGAGGGTGTCTGCTCTACCCCCACCCCAAGTGAGTGAATCTGCACTTAAGACCCATAACAAAACTTCTCTTTTGGCCAACTGAACTTGGTTTGCAAACTAAATTCAAATCGAACTCGACATAGCCTTAATTTAGTCATAAGTATATAAATGTAAGTCAAGGACCGGGTCATGAGCAGCTAGCTAGTAGATCTAATTTGTGCACACTCTCTGCTCGAGGTTAAGTTCAGTCAAGTTAAGGTCCGCCACTCGCCCCATTGAATGCTCGGTTCAATGTGATGCTGAGCTGGCCGAGAGATTACTGGCTCCGGGCGATGCGGTGGCTGCGACGTTTAGGCCGTAACTAAACCAGACAAAGTTGATCGGGCTTATACCGATCGGCTGCGGATCAGCAGCTTATGCTGGTTCCACTGCGTAACTAAGCGGAAAGAGCAGAGCAGAGAGAGAGAGAGATGCAGAGAGAGGCCGAAGGAAACGCGGCACTGTACAGGCGGTGGGCAGGTGGGCCTGGGCACCGTATGTGGTCGCTCTCTGAAGTCAATTCCTTGACCATGCCGCGCAAGCTGACCAAAGAGGCCTCTGGGGCAGCGGATAAAAAAAAAATTTAATAAAAACAGAAAAAAACGCAGTTTTGCGTCTGCAATGACGACAGCCTCCAGTTTCAGCTGCAGCGCAGCGGTCGATTTTTGCGCATTCAAATCGAAATAGGCCATGGATCTGCCTGCGGTTGTCAGTACTCGATGTTGTTGTTGTAGTAGCTGGTGTTGTTGCTGGTGTTGATACTGTCCGCGTCGGCGTCGCTTTTGGCCACAAGATCACACATTCCCAGGCACAACACGGCCACGGCCACAGTCGCAGCCATAGTCCGTATCGATATCGCGCTGAACGATATGGACAACCGTTTGTTAGTTCTTCTCTTGCCTCCTGCCACAATGGCAATGTGTGTGTGTCTGTGCTTGTGTGTGTTGATTCACAGTGATACTTTTACGAGCAAATGTTACCCAATCTGACGATTACAGACACCCATATCCATGGCAA